AGTACCCTATCAGGCCCACATTTTAATTTCTGCACGAGAATGCTACTTGTTTTCTGACAAAAAAACCATATTTTTTATTTCAATAAATTTAGACACAAACATCTTAAGATATAACCAATTTAATAATGTAAATATGAAAGTATAGTTAGAGTTAAATATAATTAGAGATTTTTTGTAAAAAATGCGATTTCAAAGTCTGGAGTTCAAGCGAACTTCAATTGAAGAACAATTTTTTAAAGGATTTTACAGTTGTACAATATGAAGTACAAATTCTATTCTTTAATTATAGACCAAAATCATTCACACATATTCAGTATTTTCTTTAAATTTTATATAAATAATTTCTCTTACTCTAAATTATTTGCAAATTGCAAATTCATCGTATTCAAACAATATAAGTTTATTATAATTATTATTTATTAGCAAATTAAATAAATACATTTAAGTACCTACTAAAAAATATCTTTTTTAATTTGTAAAACATGTGACATCACAAATGCGTGATACCCCCCATGTCCCATTTTCCTGGACCCCCCTTGGAGCTGACGTAATATGTGGATAACCCCATTATTATATTATTATGATATACTTATTAATTAATAATTAATAATAATCAATAATTAATAATAAATTACTGAAATATTGGATGTTACTGTTGATGAATGATGTTTTTAAAAATCTTGGAAAATATTTCAATACACTGAGAGAAATGGATGGTAAGGTTTTGATGGTTAGAAGTAGATGTTACCCGGTATAATCATTATGTTACTGAGTACCAATAAAGATGTTATAAAAATATGGTTATGTTACTCACTACAATCAAAGATGTTACTCTGTACAATCTAGATGTTACTCAGTACAATCTGGATTCTTGTCTGTATTTGTAGCAACAAAAAAGGTATCCCGTACCATCATTATGTTACCCAGTAACATATTTTTCTCTCACTTTAGTTAATAAATTTAACGATATTGTTATTAATAGTGGTCGGTTTAATTTTTAATACCATGATAACAATTTTTTTTTATTTTTCTAACTTCTTCGCAGTATTGATTGAGTGTGTTACCTACAGTTTTCTGCCAGTACTGATTTTAACACTTTTTTAACTCCGACATAGTATTGATTCGGTTTTGAAGTCAGTATATTCCCAGTACTGATCAGGTAACGACGGTCAGTACTGAGTATGTGTATTCCTATTAGTGGACAACTGTGCGACAATGAAACTTTAAATTCTTATTGGTTGAACAGAGTGGGACTATTTTCAATCTTTGGAAATGTGACGCTTTATAAATTAATTTCACCAATAGAAAGCTACGTTTTTCACTGCATGTGTTATGAAAAATATATTTTTGCTGCTTATCGGAGTATCGTACAGGGATCATTTTAAGCTCACATTTTTCTGTTTTGAATTTCAGCCTATAGATGTTTAAATGTTAAACGTTTGATCAACTTTCATAACACAACGGCATATGCATTAAAACTAAAAATGCACCCTTGTGGTCATGTGGTCCTCTGTACGAACGATGCGTTTCTTTTCCCTAAGTTGTACTTAATACAATCATAGAAAATATTAATAATAAATGAACTTACTGATGTACCGAAAAAATGTGAAATGTCTACAAAAACTATCCTAAATAATAATAACATATTTTTATTAGAAGAATAGTATGAAGTAGAAGAAGTTTCATTTTATGTAGTCATAATCATTCTTTGTAAAACAACTTATTCTAATTGTGAAGTGAAGGAAACCATATTCTTCTATCCTAAATTTTATTATAAGAAATTAAATAATATCTTCACTTTGTATTATTATTGTATGCTATAGCAGCCGACAATTCGTACAATATATGCATCAGTCATAAAATTTAATGTTCGAAATCACTAATTTGCTTTATTATTTAAAATAATTTTTGTTGTATAAAAAATAATTAACACATGTAATTTAAATTTTTTTTCGAAATATCACGAATCTTTCAAAACTTTTCTATATGTCCTATTAGAACAGTATTATTAACATTGACAAAATTTTAAACGTGTTTAAGAGAAAAACAAGATAGGGTTTCTGCTGTGTAAAAGTATATATATATATATATATATATATATATATATATATATATATATATTTTTATAATCATTTTGCTTCCTCATGGAAAAGGATTTAAATTTAAAGAAACATCAAGATTAAAAAACTAATGCTTATAATAATTTCAATATCTTTTGATAATAAATTGATTGATTTTCTCAATTCTGCAAGAGCACACTTATTTTTTTGATCACAGAGTACACTCTGGATCAATATGATGCTTTTATTACTTCTTTAATCAAGTATAATTACAAAAAAAATGACTGCATCGACTGCCATCAGAATTTTTTGAGATATATACTTGAAAATAAATATAAATAACTTGAACGAAAATTAACTATTGTTAATATTTTTAGACCGGTTAAAAAATCCAAGAATAAAAATTGTTTTTAAAAAAGTTGAATTTTAAGGAGTAAAATGTAAATTTTCAAATTATTAATACATTAAGCTAATAATTTATGTGAAAACTCTAGAAGAAGAAAAAACTCTAAACTCTAAATAAAATAGAAATAAACTTGTACCTATTGTGTCTTCAAAAGAAATTTTTTTAAAATTTAATTGTTGGGTTGCCCAACACCGATTTTGAATGCATCTAAACGATAACTGGATGCTCTACAGTTAATGACAAGCGATTATTTATTTATTTATTTAAGTAGTAAACGGGACTATGCCCTTTCGTACAAAGTAGTCTTAATACTAATTTTATTGCACTAAGCAAAATTACTAAATATTATCAAAAATGAAACATAACTGGCTGAACTTAAAAATAGTGAATTACATATCTCTAAAAGCAGGAAAAAATTTGGTAAAAGCACCATACAAAATATCATAAAGAATATCAACCAATTAATTACCAAAATTATCAAAAAAAAGAAAAGAAATAAAAAACTATAAAAAGATTTTGATTTTAAAATTTAAATATTGGTGACTGTAGATACCTTAAAAAATTTTAGGACAATTCGTCAAAACACATCCGAATGATTGTTCCCCATATTGAATTCTATATTATGCGAACATTCCAAATTTGGTAAAGTAATAGATTATATGAAATTTGGAGAACGACATTACTATGAAGCATTCTATGAGACAGCAAAAATTCGAAAAAAATGCTCGGTGAATATACCTCACGGAGAACATAACTGATTCAACAGTTCGAATAAAAGGAAGGAAGTAAAGAGTTGAAAGACGGAAGGAGAGCGCAAAATGTAGTAGACAAAACACCGATAAGAAAATGACGCTGGAACAGTTTCAAACCACGCCGTGTCGGGGAAATAAATTGCAAAATCTGAATTACTGATCTATGGTCGCACAATTTAGAAAAGAAGAAACCAAAGAAAAGAGGATTTTTCTCCAAATTTAACTCAATTTCACGCTCAAATGGTTCTTAATAAGTTTTATTTAATAAAAATACTGCTAAATAAACTTTGCGCTTTTAAAATTAAACCAAAAGTGAATTAAAAAACTTTTGTTATACATGTTAATTGAAAAAAAACCATTTTTTGAAAATTTTAAAGTAAAATGATAATAAAACTGAAATGTAGGAAAAATATAATTTCGTTTACATTAACAGAAAGTAGGTTTTCGACATTTTGAAATTGGAGGTCGTCTGATAAAGTGCGTAATCAACATTGCTTAGTGCATTTTAAATTTAAAGTCGCAGACTTTTATTAGCAGTATTTTCTAAAACCTTTGAAACCATTCATTGACACTTTAGAATGTAGATTTTATAAATATGCAGTAGCCGATAAGGAAATAAACTTTAATTCTCGTAAATGTCGTATAACATAATCTGTTTTTTTTTTACTTTTCCAACGTCGCTGGTAGTGCATGTCAAAAATATTTTAAGAAACATGAATAATGCTGAGAGTTTAGATTTGAAAGAAATTACGATGAATTTCGTGTATAAAGAGGGATAAATAAATATTATCATTTAAGCATATATATAGAAACTATAGATAAGCACCTTAATCCTGAACAAAAAAAATGTCAATTTAAATTTCAACATATAATAAAAATTTATTTTTTTAAATAATTGCATTGATAAAGAGTAATTTAATTGGTAAGTAAACAATAAATAACACATGAATTCGTTGATATTTAAAATAAAGTTGAAACTAAATAAAACAATAGTATAATTATGTACTTCGAAAAATTGATTCTTCAAAATAATAATTAAATCTCAAAGTATTAAATAATTGAAAGACCTCTATTAATTAAATCATATTCCATATTATATTATTGACCGCACCTTAACTGTTGATCACTTATTTATATATATATATATATATATATATATATATCCATTTTTTTAAATTTTTCAAATAATTATCGCATTTGAATGAATATCTTATTTTAATAAACATTTAATAAAGAAAAGTTTCTACTCTGGACATTTAAGTTTTATGAATGACAATTCATTTATTATAAAATAAAAAAAAAATATTGTCATTCTTTGTTTAATACAATGTGATTTTAGTTGAAATAAAAACAATTTCCATGAGTTTAAAGTATGACGTTTACTACGATTTTTATTATTCCTCCAATTAACTTTTACTATCATGTTCGGTAAAATTTTCACTTACAATATTAATATTCTTATCTTTTCTTTATTAACTTTAAATATTTATGAAATATGATATAAATTCACAATATTTGGTTAAAACTACTGTTGAATTTAGTTTTTGATTTCCGAGTTTCTATATATATGCTTAAAGAAATATTCACGAATAATTTTTTTTAATTCACAATCTAAAAATTTGCAATCACATGAAATCTGTTGCATTTAAAATTTGAATTGAGTTTTGCATGATTTTTGAATATGATACGATTTTTTCATGATCTTCGTTAGGATTTTTAGATTAATTTGCTATTATTATCTAAAAATTTTCCAGAAATGTGAGAATAGAAAACAGTTTTCACCTTACGGTAATGAAGAAGAAAACAGCATAAATTTATTGTCAGCATTTTCAACGGACTACACACGTGGAAAAGTATTCCTGTTTTTTTTGGGGGGGAACTTGTCAACTAGTTTAAAAAACTATAAGAGCTATAGTTGATCGGATTTGATGTTGGATTTTTTTAGCCATTTTGAGTGTGCGTCGAAAGGCAGTTGTGGGCTTGGCTCGTTGTCCTTACTTCTTCTCTCCCGCGCACCTATGCCATCAGACACACACACACTTAAACGAAAAACTTACACACGCACATGCACTCACACATCCAATTTCACCAATACACAGTTGCATGTGCACGCATACATCGAGCTCTCCCTCTCCATCTTTCGCCTTTCGTTCTCTCCTTTTCTTCCGTTCCTTCTCTTCTAGCAAGGCGATTCTCTAGGTATGTAATTGCTGGAAAGGAACATTGACTACTCACTGTCGTCACCGTCGCTCGAGAATCCCAAGGAACGTTCCTGTCGGCAAAATTTGATTTTTCAAACAATGTGATGATTATTGTGACTTCTGATAATTTCTTCACACTCTTTTTCTTTATTTTTTCAATACATCTTGCACTGTAAAATTTTGCTCCACTTTACACATTTTTTTTTAAATGAAGCTAAGGAGCTTCATTTAGTCACACACAAAAAAGAAGAAAAAAACAAAGTGAAAACAAACACACGCCCTCTATCACGAATGCATGCCCCAAGGTCACTATGTGATTAATACGAAAATCTGGAGAACCGCGCAGAGACCAATGCTACCAATACCGTTCTCCAGCACCTCCTCTTTTCTTCACTTTCACAATAATGTTTCCCCTGTAAGAAAATGACCATCAATTATCATCACTAACAACAATGAGTTATGTCAGTGTCGTGATGCCGGCAAGTGTTAACCGGTCACTGATATAAAAAGATTGGAATTGATAGTACTCGGAACAACTATACAGGACCGAGAGGCAGTATGAGCACACAGGGTATTAAAAATGGTTATTCCACTTGCAATAAAAACTTCTTTTTTTTTGTCACTTCACTTATTCCCGTCCACTACTGACTTCTTTAGCGATCAGTTTTTTGCACTATTTGTTAACATTTGCCCTTCCATCATATAAAGAAGGCAGGTACCCTTGAAAATTTACGCTGTGTTCCAATCGCCTGGTTTATATCTTGGATGTTAAAATTTGTATTTTTTTTCCTTTTGTTTCGCACACTACACTTATCGCACACAACTCGGAGGGAGAGAGACTTGCTAGCCAGCCAGCCAGCCTCGCTGCCAGTTACTCCGGCTGGAAATACGTTTACGACTTGCGTTGGGTCGCGCTGCGCTCCCGTAACTGCATCCGCGTCCGCCAGTTCGGCTTGCGCGCTAGAAGCGCCGCCATCCGAACACGACCCCCCTCCACCATTCAAAGGTTACCACCACCATAAGCACCGTCGCGACGCTGGTGCACCTCAACAGGGATATAGGCAAGGCAAACTCTCGCATACGTGACGCGCCAAAGCACGCCACACTAACACAGAATCGCGCGTGCTTTTTCGACATTTCTTCATGTGTGTATATGCGTATTGAAGGAGCATATTTCATTCTGTTGATGGCAGTGTGTTTGTAACTTCAACGTGCATTGTTGACGGATTTACTGAAAAAAACTCCTTTTGGCATTACGGATTGAAATAATATCAAATTTGCGATAGATTTTAGATATTTACTAATTTCATTTTTTTAAAATTGATGACATGTCTGAAGGGTACTTTCTTTACTCACTGTATAACATATAGGTACAGAATGTAGCGATAATTCTACAAGTCGACAAAACTATTTAGAAGAAGCGAAAAGTTAGTGTTTTACAGTTCAATGTGTGCAACTGCTCCAAACAGTATTTACGCTTTCAAATCAATCCATATACACTCGTCTCATCAATGCATGCGTATACTGTTTGAATTAGCTTGGGCGCGACTTTTTACTCGATGGTTTTCCATTTTTCGCCTGTTTACACTGCAAAATTAAAATTATATGTTTTAGGTTATTTAATCCTCAGAACGTCTCAGCTTTTGACATAATAAATCAAAAAATTAGTATGGTCCGTACCAATCTTTAGTATGAACCATATTAATTAGTTGATACGTTCATACGATTAAGTAACATATAAACACTTCGTTTTCCCCTGTTTGAAATTAACTATAATAATCTTCGTATATCTGTGACAGTGAAATATGTAAACATCTTAGATGTTCAAATTTAATATCTAAGATATTGGAAAAAGACTTGTTCAAACATAACCTCACATTTACAGATAATACTTTATTAAACCATAACATTAGCATCTTTTCCTAATATCTAGTATATTAAGATTTTTAATATCCAGTTTTCTCAGTGCATGGCAAAAAGGGTCAAGCAACAATTTCATGATTTTACAGGAAACGAAAATAATACATTTAAAAATTTTCCTGATCATTTAAGAAAAATCTAAAAAAAACTGTTTGGAGATATTATTTCGCTTTACCAGTAGAAATATAATTTATAAAGACAAACCTACATATTAGTGAGAACAATAAGTAAAAGTGGACCATCCCGTGCAGAAATTAAAATGTGGGCCTGATAGGGTACTGGACAGTTTTCCCGATCTCTGGTGTGGCTCTGGGTAGAGCAACTGACCAGTGCCCGACTAGTGTGTGACGCTGTTCCCGACCAATGCCCTACTTAGGAAAAAACTGGTCAGGGCCTCGTCAGTTTTTCTTAAAATTGCCCTATTTTGTGAGGTTAATTTTATTCAAAAGAAATTACAATAAAATTACTGTAATTAAAAATATTATTATATTAGAAACATAATGAACACAACATATTTATACATAACATAATGAGGTATTATAGTCATTTTGACTAATTTAAAAGTGAAAATGATAAAAATAATATAATTTCAAGAATAGAAAAACTTAAAAATTTTTGAAAAATATAATTTTTGGTTTTATGATTAATTCATTTTTCTTTTTGAGGTTGTCGCTCCTTTCTGCCTCCTTAATTTTATAATATTAATAAAGGTTATAATTTTTGTTTTTAAATGTATAAGTAATAATTAATATTTATTTAATAAATATTTTATTCAAAATAGTTATTAAATATTGAAGGTGTTAAATTTAACAATCTCTCTGAATCATTTTCTCACTTTAAGCTAATATAATAAAAAATAATTATTATTATTAAAATAATATAATATACATACAAACCAAATGATAAATTCATCCTATAAATTAATAATTATTAAAATTCATTAAGTATAATTTGTTAATAATTGTTTATTAATTATTATTTTTTAAATTCATAATTTTTATTTTTAAATAAATGTATAATAATTAATTATTTAATAACTATTATTATTCGTTGTTTATAATTTAGTTGTTATTATTAATAAATAAACTTTATTATAATATTATACTTAAAGGAAAAAAAATTATATGTATTTTCGTTTTTTAAATATATTACCATAATTATTTTGTTAAGTGTTTTAAAAGAACACGCTTTTTTAACTTAAATAACTGTTTTAAAAAAGTTAATTTTAAAAAATTAAATTTATTTACATGCTTTTAAAACGAGGAAAACTGTCGAGGCCCTGATCAGAGCCATATTTAATATCTAGTGAACACCCCACTTAGGGTTTTGGCCAGAATTTCTGGTCAAACCCATAAGATAAAAAAATTCTTAAAAATGTAGTATAATTACTCCGTTTAATTAATTTCTTCAATTGTTTATAATTTTATTATGGGAACTAATTTAAAAAACTTAATTCATTTACACTTTATTCAAACGAGGAAAACTGTCGAGGCCCTGATCAGAACCCTATTTAATATCTAGTGAACACCTCACTTGGGGTTTGGCCAGAAATTCTGGTCAAACCCACAAAATAAAAAAATTATTAAAACGATAGTATAATTACTCTCTTTAATTGTATTCTTCAATTGTTAATTATTTTTTATTAAAAGTAATTTTAGAGATTTAATTTTTTTACACTTTATTTAAACAAGGAAAACTGTCGAGGCCCTGATCAGAGCCCTACTTAATATCTAGTGAACACCTCACTTGGGGTTTTGGCCAGGAATTCTAGTCAAACCCCTAAAATAAAAAAATTATTAAATAACTAAAATAATGATTGCCTTTCATTGATAATACCTTCTACAACAAAAAGGAATTCTAAAAACTTTATTAAAAAAAAAAATTTAATAGGGAAAACTGTCCAGGCCCCGACCAGAACCCTGTTTTAAATAGGCAAAGTGGGGCATTTTCTGCACGGGATTTTGGGGTTGCGTCAAATGCGCACATTTTGTTATAAAATTAATGGTTAAAAAAATATGCAGTTTAAAGAAAAACTGAAAAATTAGTTTTGTAATATTGAATTGATGAATTAAATGCAAAATAGTTTGCTTTAAAAAAGTTGTTTGTTTTCAAGAAAATTGTTAATTAAATGTTAACTTTTGAAAATAAACAGTAAAGAAATTTTCAAATGCAAACTACAAACAGGAATATTTAAAAATTAAAAAAAGAATATAATATTTAAATTGTTGAAAATTAGATAAAGAATAAAACTATTTCTAAATAGATGACACAATTTTTCAGCGAAATTTAATATATGTTTAATGATATCAAAAAGAAAGCAATATTTTTAACCATATTAACCTATTCATAATAATATTCATTTCTTTTGTTTTTCAACTGAATTGCATTGTAAGTAAAAGTTTAGGCTATTTTTTTATTCTTATTTTTATTAAAAACGACTTTAAAAACAATTTACAAGAAAATCCTTTTACAGAACTGTGTAAATAAATTTATCTGATTTTTTTTATAAAAAAATCTCTAATTCGAAAAATTATTGCTTGACCCCTTTTATCATGCCACCCTTCAATTATTTTTATTTTATAATAAACTCAAAATTGTAATGATAAATAGAAATTATCAGAATTTTTTTCACTTCTTTTCATTAAAACACTAAAATTTTGTTAAATATTATATTTTGTCAAATTGAAATTATGCAGATTTTTTTTCATTACTTCTTAGCAAAATTAGAAAATTGTTAAACAACTGTGATTAAGAAATAGAAAATTTATTTATTTTGCATTATTTTTGTTAATGAATCACAATTTTTTTAACAAAATTATTATTTTTTTTTAGAAAAAGAAGAAAAATATTTGCACAATTCTTATTTTTAATCTTATTTTTGGAACAGGATTTTCCACAGGAATTAAGACATTCAAAAATTCAAAATTCAAACCTTTTTTAAATTAAACAACTTATAAAAGTATTGTTATAAAACATGAAGATATTGATTGCTCCGAGTCGAAGACTCGGAGTGATCGATTTCTTCATGTTTTATAATAATCAAAAGATGACCGAGAGATAAAATCATTCTTTTATTTTATAAACATATAGTTACTGTAATTTCATCAAAATTATTTTCATCATTTTAATTCAATTATTATATTCTAGAATGTTAAATTATTTTTTATGAAAATAATAATTGAATTCCTGAAAAAATGTATTATTTATAAAAATAATTGAATTTCTGTAAAATTTTTATATATTTATGAAAATAATTAAATGTTTACATACAATTTTATTAAAATTTTTTTAAATAATTGAATTCGTTTTGGGAAATTTTATTAAAATTTTATTTATAAAGATAATTGAGATTTTTACGAGAATTTTTTTCAAATTTTAAACATAGTTGAATTTTATAAGAAGAATTTTATTTTTTTTTTTTGAAAATAATTGAATTTCTGTAATTATTTGTAATTTCTCCAAAATTGAATTTTTTTTAGTGTTTTCAAGAAAAATTTAAAAAACCGCTGCCAAGTTGTACATTTTTATAATTTTGGTGTTCATTTCATGAACACTTTGCTTCCTGATACACGGAGAGAGAATATATATTAAATTTTGTAAAAATATTTTCAAATTGGGGAAAAAGTGCGACAAAGCGAAATTTTGATATCAAAAAATACTAAACTTTAAAAAAACTTATGTGAAATTTAGTATAATTATATCAAATATCAAGAATATTAATTAAATTCTAATATAACTTTACTAAATTTCATATAAGTTTTTTTAAAGTTTAGTATTTTTTGATATCAAAATTTCGCTTTGTCGCACTTTTTCCCCAATTTGAAAATATTTTTACAAAATTTAATATATATTCTCTCTCCGTGTAGAAATAATAATAATTGAAATATAAGAATAACTTTTTATAAAAGGGTTAAAAATCATTAAATCTTGGTCTAAAATATGTGTTTTTATATATTCTATAAGATGGTAATAATAGTTTAATAATTACACATAAATTAATAAACAAGAATGTTGAAAAAATGATATTTTCCACAAT